GACCTCACAAACATTCCCATAGACACACTCCTAAACCTTGTGGACGCTTTCCCAGAAGAGTTGAAGCTGTTATAGGTGCAAAGGGCGGAGCCAACTCAATATTGAACCCTACGGACTAAGACTGGTATGCCATTAAAGATCATGTGCGTGTAAAGGCCGGGTCCCAATACTTTTGGTAATATAGTGTATGTCAAGCAATCATCTGCCATAAGGACTGTTGAGAACATTTTTTTATAGTTGAAATACTTACTTCCACTATGTGGGGGCATTCTCCTGCGCCTGTGTTTCCCATCTATAGCTCCTAAACAATTTGGGAAATTGCATCTCTTCCAAAATAATTCCACAATTTCTCTTCATCATTGCTCAGTTGGCTGGGAGCATAACCTCCTCTGTGCAAATTTCACCAAACAGCCTTGCATGTGGACTGTACGATGTAATAGATGGTAGATCTTCCCATTCTGAATTGAAAGTGCATTGTTGCATACGAATGACCGGTTGCCAGGAAGTTAACAAAGGCCATAATGTTATTGTTTTGCAGTTGAAGAAGTCAAAAAGCGATGGCGAAATTTTCGGGACTGCTACAGCAAAGAACTGCGCCACAGGAAGCACGAGAGAAGAAGTGGATCTGGCAGCCGAAGGCGCCAACCATATGTGTACTTCCAACAGCTCGCCTTCCTCAGACCGGTCATAGAGCTGCGTCAGTAAGTTGGCCCACAATGGCAGCATGACATTCATTTAACTTGTATATCTTTGGATGTCTGATGTCGTTTTATTTTCACAGAACCCAAAGCAATTGGGACGAGGAAGAAGGAGCCGGACCTTGGGCAGGGGCAGCAACAACCTCGGCATCTGCAGGAGCACGCGCGACTTCTGCAGAGGCAGCTGTGGCAAGTCCAGGGGAAGCCGTGGCCTCCGCAGGGGAAGCTGGGGTGGAGGAGTCGTGTGCGGCCGAAGAGGAACTGCAGATGGAAGAAGATCAGCAGCAGAATGGACAACCTCACCTGGTGCACTGGGACACATTGACTGAGATGGCCTTGGAGGAAAACATGGCTCCTGCTGGTCCCAGACTGACCAGGACCACAGCACGGCCACAGACAGCCCGGAGGAGACCAACCTATCGTGCATCACGGGCAGGATCCTCGGTGGGGGATTTAATGGAGGCCATGCGCTTCCTAATGCGCCAATTTGAAGAAGCAAATAACAAGCACCGAAACGTGGCCTTAGCATTCGTTCCATTTCTCCAGCTGATCCCTGATCAAGACCTTTTTGCTTGCGTCATGGACATTAACCGTGTCATCATGGGGTACCAGCGTCAGAATCCGCTTGTGCTGTCTGAGAGGGAAAAGCCCTCTGCGGTGCCCCCCTCGACTGTTCCCCCCTATGCTGGGGCCCCACCAACACATCCACCAGCACCTCCTCCAGCTGCAGGAGCTCAGCCACCTCGCCACCATTTCACACACCCACCTCTCCAACCGCAACCACATGGGAGCTTTATGGGCAACGTGCAGGACATCCAGGTAAACCCAATGGGTGGCGAGCATTTTTCAAATGCCCACAGGCAATCAGAGCCATCATGGGGTCGCTCTGATGATAGTGGGCCCTACTACAATCTGTGATTGCTTTTTGTTTTTTTCTTTATGTGTTATACAATTTTTGGCTTATGTTCTGATGAATAAATTTGGTTATTTTGTCTGATACATTTTCAATTATCTCGCTTCTTTGATGTCGATCATCTGTAATGAACCTCCGAAATGTGTTCAAATGCAATGACAAAGATTTCCCTCCTATGTGGGTGCAATTGGCAGCCTGCTATGGGCTTTAAACCAATAGTAGGCTGCCTTTTGCTTGAGCACACCTACATTTACAATTAACTGCTCATTCACACTGGAATCGGCCGGCACGTACAGCTCCGAGCAGCTCCCGGGAAGGTGTGATTAGTACGCAGCCCCCGTCCTTCTCTATGGGACTACGCGACCGTACGCTCCCCTTCACTCACCTCAAGTGCAGGTCCGTTGGGGTGCGTGTTTTCCGGCTCGGAGGAAGACAGGATCCATCCTGTCAGCATACGAGTGCGCGCACCCGGACAGACGTGCAGGGCGGGTAGGGGGGCGTACGGCCAAGGACATAAAGGACCCCCAGAAAGGTGGTTCTCCTGAAGCGGCTGTTGTTGCGCGGCCCGGCAGACACTGACGGCTCGGTGGTGATTTTTCTCTTCGTAGCTCCTTTTTGGGGGCTTCTTTCGAGATGTCTATCCGCTTGTCACCTTTCTGGGGGGTTCCTTTTTGTCCTTGGGCACGCCTCGATCTTGGGCTCTTGCTCTGAAGGCCTGGCCGGGCACACACGGATTACTACTCTCTGGGAACCATCTCCTTTATCTCCTTAGGAAGCACTAGAAGTGCGAAACGCGTTGAGGGAGTATTACTATTCCTGATATAAGAAGAGGCATCTATGTGCTGTATGAGTACAAGACTATGTTAAATCAATTTTGTATGTTATGGTCACCTAGCCTCAGATTATAATTCTGGAAGAGTTCATTTGGAGATCAGTTTGTTTTTTTCCATTCTGAAATGTTCACATATCAATTATTATGTCTTTAAACTGTTTTAACCTTTGCATAATAAAGAAACCTTAGGGGTGTGGTACCTGATATTCAGGATCTGGTCACGATAATTTGATTTAAAGGAGAACTATGGGGTCAGGGCTTTCCCCTATAGTTCTCCTAAGGGTCACGGGAGGACACAAACTAGCGTCCTCCCGTCACCCTAAGCTCAGTATATTGGGAGCTGTAGCTTGCGGTATACTGAGACGCCGCAGCCGGGACGGATCCCGACATTACTGTCTGGATCCATCCAGCTGCGTGATTGACAGCTGGCTCTGCCTATCTAGAGGCAGAGGCAGCTGTGCCCGCCCCCTCCCCCCGTCCGTTTCTCCAGTCAGTGCTGGTGGATCGGACAGGGGAGGGGGAAGATCCCTGTAGGGAGCCGTGAGTGACAGTCACGGCTCTCTGCAGGGACAGGATCGAGAAGTGAGCGAGCGCCGGTATTTGTTCGCTCACTTCCCGATCTACTGAGCCGACCTGTTACAGTTTCATTGTCACAGGTCGGCTCAGATTATAAGGCTGAGTGAAAATCACTCGCCTCATAATTCTCCAATGATAAATAACAGCGACAATGTGGACTTGCAGAGTTACTCCGAACACATAACATGAGCAAGACATTCACTCATCATAGGGTAATGATGAGACGTTGAGTAGGTGAGATTGCTTTGCGGTAGGCAGTGTCCTCATGCACAAGAGCGTCCGCTTCAGGAGGAGAGAATCAAAGCTATAAACCAAAAAAGCAGACCGGAGTGAGTAAACAGTACACAGTCAGTCACAAGTCCAGTGTGGTGCACACAGAACGTAATACCTTTCAATAGACATACGGATGCATGAAAAGAACTTCCCCGGATGCGCCCTTCCAAACCTCGTATGAAGTCCAAAACTGGCCCTTTGTTTCTCGGCCCCCCAGCCAGCGGGTGCACCCGATACCGACGTCTGGGGCGTTACAACCAACACTGACACCATGCCTGCCAACAGAGCAAGCATGTCAGAGCTCCAAAAACAACGAAGGAAATGCTCTGACAGGAAGAAGGAAGTGATATAATGGTCTAATTAGCATTTTGAGGTAAAAAAAACGGATGGCACTGCAGCTGCGCAGACGCATGCAGTTGTGACGCAGTTCTGGTGTGAACTACCACGGAGTGTTTGCAAACCTCGGGTTTCATATACAATTTCATCGAGATACAAATTCCAACATTATCAATGTGTAAAATTAAAGATGGCTCTATAGCCTCCTATGTGCACGGGATACTGACATTCACTAGTCTGAGGTGCGTAGTTCACTGTATGGAGATCTGGCATTAAACCCATTCTGAAGTACTATATAGAAGTTGGAAGAATTGTGAAAAAAAAACCAATCAGGAAGCAGGGCGGCATGTAATGACTTACCGCCCAGCTTCCTGATACCGAAAGTTCCAGTATCGAATACTCACCCAAATACTCGTAGTATTGGTATCGGTGCCAATACTGAGTATTTGTGTGAGTACTCGTACTCGCCCAAATGCTCCCGACGCCTAGCCTGATACCGGAACTTCCAGTGTCCGGAAGCCGGGCAGCGAGTCATTACAAGCTGCCCGTCTTCCTGAATCAGGAAGCCAGGGGGCGTGTAATGACTCGCCCCCCTGGCTTCCTAATTGGCCTGGGAAGCCGCCCCCATGCTCTTTCGTCACTTGATGATGAGGGAGCATGGAGTTGGCTTCCCGGCCAATCAGGAAGCTGGCCAACGTGTAATGACTTGCTGCCCTGCTCCCTGAGTGGTCGGGAAGCTGGCCAATCAGGAAGCCAGCCGACGAGTCATCACTCTCCACCCGGCTTACTGGCCGGACCTGGTGATGAGGAAGCATGGGGACGACTACCCTGCTAATCAGGAAGCCGCGTGTGGAGTCATTACATGCCAACCGGCTTCCTGTCTAATAATTACATGCTGCCCTGTTTCCTTCATGGGACTTCCGGTATCGGGGAGTAGTACCAAAAAAAAAAAAAAATCAGTACTTGTAACTCAAAAACCGGTATCGGTGCATCCCTATTTAAGATGAAGTCTGACTGAAGAGGAGGTCCTGAAACATGCGTCCTCCTCCAACTGCTATGATCTGTTTTCCAATTGGATATGTCTAGTGATTTCAACATTTGCTATCTTCTAAGCAAATTGTGTCTTCGTAATGATACTGGGTGTCCTTCAACATTTTTATTTCCTTCCTTTTCTTCTGTTCCCTTCAGATGGACGATACAAAGGGCACCACATGGAAGAACACCCCTCTTTAGAGAGTGAGATTGAAGATGATGACATCACAGTAGATTCTTCGGAGGAGAACCTCAAGACTACAAATCACGACCAGAGTTCTCCAGGTCACTCAGGTCTTCATGGCCATCGGGCGGCTCCCAGACGAGGTAAAACGTTCACGTGTTCCGAATGCGGTGAATGTTTTACCCGGAAGGCAGACCTCACCTCCCACCGGAGAACTCACAAAGGCCAGAAGATCTTTTCGTGTTCTGAATGTGGGAAAAGTTATTCCCTGAAACAGCAACTGGTCAGACACGTGAAAATCCACACCGGGGAGAAGCCCTTTTCATGTTCGGAATGCGGAAGGTGCTTTACTGAAAAATGCATACTTGTCAAACATCAGAGGACTCACTCCGGGGAGAAGCCTTTCTCGTGTTCCGAATGCGAGAAGTGTTTTCCGAGCAGGCGTAATCTCATCTTACATCAGATGACTCATACGGGGGAGAAGCCGTTTTCATGTTCCGAATGCGGCAAGTGTTTTTACTACAAATCAAACCTTACCACTCATGAGAAAGTTCACACCCAAGTGAAGCCATATTCATGCTCGGAATGCGGCAAATGTTTTTCCCATCGCTCGTCTCTCATTGATCATGAAAAAGTCCACACGGGGGAGAAGCCATACACATGTAAGGAATGCGGCAGAAGCTTTTCTCACAAGTCTTCACTCAACACTCATGGAAAGGTTCACACGGGGGAAAAGCCGTACTCGTGCTCTGAATGTGGCAAGTGTTTTTCGCACAAGTCGTCTCTTATCAAGCACGAAAAACTGCACGGAGGGGAGAAGCCGTTTTCGTGCATGGAATGCGGCAAGTGTTTTTCCCTCAAGTCAAGTCTTGTCGAACATGTCAAGCTGCACACCGGGTTGAAGCCGTACTTGTGCTCCGAATGCGGCAAAACTTTTTCCCTCAAGTCAAATCTCACCAAACACAAAAGAGTTCACACGGGGGAGAAGCCGTATTCATGTTCTGAATGTGGGAGACGGTTTTCAAACAAGTCCTGCTTTATGTCGCATGTCAATTCTCATGGGGCAGAATCTGCGTTAGGAGGTGGAAGCTGAGTTTGTGTAGGCACATATACACTAGATGACCATAAGTATGTGGACGCCCCTCCAAGTGATTGAGTTTCTAGTGAAGGGTAGTGGTAATGCTACGGCATACGGAGACATTTTACTACAAGTTTGGCAAGGAAGGACCTTTATGGACCTGTGTCTCTGTACACAAAGCCAGGGCTATAGACACAGTTTGGCCAGTTTGGTACGGAGGAACTCAAACAACTGCACAGAGCCCCCGACCCAACCCAAGTCTTCTCGTCCAACATCAGTACCAATGCAGGAAGAGGAATCACCAGCACTCAGCAGAATAATCCAACATGTCCATTTATTGGACATAGACGTCACACAATCACAAGAGCCAACGTTTCGAGACCACGCAGGGTCTCTTCATCAGGGCATAAATGGTCACTCTTTATGCCCTGATGAAGAGACCCTGCGTGGTCTCGAAAAGTTGGCTCTTGTGATTCTGTGACGTCTATGTCCAATAAATGGACATGTTGGATTATTCTGCTGAGTGCTGGTGATTCCTCTTCCTACATTGTGTCTGCACTGTGCCATCCGTGTTCATCACTACAAGCACCATTGTCTACATAGGCCTTGATTGCTGCAAGGTGTGCGGAGGATTTCCCCTTCTATCCAACATCAGTACCAGACATCACAAAAGTTCTTTTGGCTGAGTGGACACAGATGCACTCTACATTCTTGTGGAGAACCTTCCCACAGGAGTGGAGGCTGTAACAGATCCAAAGGTAGGCCAGCGCCATAGTATTGCTGTCACGTACCTGAGTGGAGACCGATAGTTGAGGAGGCTTCCCTTGCAGCTCGTGTCCCTCAACCCTGAGCATGGGAACAGAGGAGGAGTGACAGCGAGCTGCACTAGTGCCAAGGATGTAGCAGACACGTGTGCCGAGGTGGAAAGTCCAGGATCTGGAACGGAGGCAGTTCGGGCAGAGCCGAGGTCAAGCCGGGCGGGCAGCAGGGTGTTTGAAGCAGAAGACAGGAGCGAGATCCAAAAGGAAGCCAAGGTTCAAATCCAGCCGAGCAGCGAAGTACAAAACAGGAGGCAGAAGGAAGTCCAATGAACAGGCCGAGGTCAGGAGGCGGGCAGCAATCGAGAATGATCAGAGGCAATCCAGGTCAAACACAAGAAGTCAATTAACAAGGCAGATGCAAGGAACACAGGGGTCTAGCTGAAGATCATCCAGCCACGAAGGATATGGCAGTCTGGTTTATATAGGCGTGTCCATTAGCATTTCCTGTGCGCCTTACGTGCGCACGTTTTCGCGCGGAAGTCCGTTGCGCGCGCATGTGCACTAGCACACGTTTTCCAGTTACCCGGAAAATGGGGCCATGACCCTGCGCAGAGGTGCCTGGTGCCTTACAATTGCCCATGGTTATGGAATGGAAAGTCCAACAAGCTCGTATAGATTTGACAGTCCACTGTCAACAAACTTTGGGCCGCATAGTCTAGTTGTCTTGGGTTTATACTGGAAAAACTGGTTGAAGGACTGAAAGAAAACATGTCTTACTATACTGTATATATATATGTGTACATCATGTGTTTTTAATGTGAAAACTCAGATTTGTTCAAAAATAATGTCTCCTAAATAAATATCATTATTTGCAGAAATTTTATGGCAGGTTCCTATTAGCTACTGGTGCCGATAATTCACAGGGGGAGGGGGAAAGGGGGCAGGGCACAGCATACCACAGGAGTGTTCGCCTCTGTAGGAGGATTGACACCAAGCAGAAGGATGTGCTGTTATGAATGTGAGCTTAAACTTCGGAGGTAAATCTTAAATATACATTCAAGTCCCTGAAATATTAACAGAAATGTATCTTATTTGTGTATCACTCGGCTGTAGATCCTCCAATCATCTCTGAATTGGTGCTGACACTGTCCTTCGTTCTGGAGGGTGGTGCTGACACTGTCCTTCGTTCTGGGGGTTGGTGCTGACACTGTCCTTCGTTCTGGAGGGTGGTGCTGACACTGTCCTTCCTTCTGGGGGTTGGTGCTGACACTGTCCTTCCTTCTGGAGGGTGGTGCTGACACTGGTGACACTGTCCTTCCTTCTGGGGGTTGGTGCTGACACTGGGGACACTGTCCTTCCTTCTGGAGGTTGGTGCTGACACTGTCCTTCCATTCTGGGGGTTGGTGCTGACACTGGTGACACTGTCCTTCCTTCTGGAGGTTGGTGCTGACACTGTCCTTCCATTCTGGGGGTTGGTGCTGACACTGGTGGCACTGCCCTTCCTTCTGGGGGTTGGTGCTGACACTGGTGACACCGTGCTTCCTCCTGGAGGGTGGTGGTGACACTGGTGACACCGTCCTTCCTCCTGGGGGGTGGTGGTGACACTGCCCTTCCTTCTGGAGGGTGGTGGTGACACTGTCCTTCCTTCTGGAGGGTGGTGTTGACACTGGTGACACTGTACTTCCTTCTGGACGGTGGCTACTTTTGTTCCCCATGGTCCCTATGTGTGTTATAAAGTAGTCACCGCTCCAAGCTCACTCCCGGGATGGACTACAATCTCATGTTTAGTTTACTAATTTGTAGTGAGATTGTAGTCCATCCCGGGAGTGAGCTTGGAGCGGTGACTACTTTACAACACACACAGGGACCATGGGGAACACAAGTAGTCACCCCCCAGAAGGAAGGACAGTGTCAGCACCAATTCAGAGATGATTGGAGGATCTACAGGCGAGTGATACACAAGTAAGGTGTGCTATAACTATATGTAGTTTTACTACCTTTGACCTATCAGGACATCTGTTGATTTTCACGGCAGTGTTGTCACCACGTGCACGTGGGCAGGTCAGTCTTAGATGGATATGTAGAATTAAAAGGAATACAAAACTAATACTGTACAGCAGGGGGTCCCTGGCTGTAGCCAAAGTGCACCGCGCAGCATTCCAGTAGTTGTATTGGTACCGCGAGCAGAGCCCGCTTTTGGGTCTGGTTCATAGTACTGTACGTACATTACAGGAAGTTGGCTCTTGTTAGACGTGCAGACGAGGGGTGCCCGCCTCTTCTTCCGGGTTCCTGTGAGTTTTTTTACTGCTGTCTGTATCCTCATTAGGAAAATTTTTATCTCACTTCCTGTCCTTGAGACAACAGGAAGTGAGAGGAAATCTATCCCTAGGAAGGGAAATTCGCTCCTGTAAGAGTGATCATGGGAACTGAAGCTTTATCACCAGTCCTTGTTTCCAGTTTTCAAAATCCAATTGTCACAGGGGCAGAAAGTGAGGTGAAATCTACTGAACGGGGGCACACACAGCAAAACAAACGTTACAGGGGGGTCAACCCTTCCCTATGCTATCCACAACAAAACAAAACAAATTGGGGCTGGAGTTACACTTAAAAATGTACCTGTTCCAACTTACATACAAATTCAACTTAAGAACAAACCTCCAGTCCCTATCTGGTCCGTAACCCGGGGACTGCGTGTAGTTTATTTCCTGGTGATCCGGCCAGTAAGTCTGTTATTTTTCTCAACTTCCTTTAACAGGCCAAGCTGGCCAGCATAGGTGGCAGGTAGAGGGTTGGGGCAAACCATTCACCACCCACAGGGGTGCATACAATGGCCAGCTTGTATTAATTTGGTTAAAACCTTCCTCCAAAAGGGGGGGGGGGGGAACAGTTTCTGTAACTACTTAAAGAGCGATAGATGGAGTTGAGTTTAAAGTTTTTAGTCGGGTCCATGTAACACTGCCGTCTACACAGGATGCCGATGCCGCTGTGCAGGACTTCTCCTCCAAAGATGCAGTGAAGGACTTCTAAAGGTACGTTCACACCACATGCAGTGCGTTCTGGTCCGATTCTGGCCTGAACGCACTGCACCGCATTGTGGCCGGCTCACTATTTTGTGGGGCAGGAGGGGCCATTGAAGTGAATGGCACCGTAGCCACGCCCTCCGGCCGCAATGCGAACGCCCGCACATTGTGCCAGCACGTTATTAATCTCGGGTGCCCCACTCAATATGGCCGCCGCTTGAATGGGGCAAGTCAGATTAATAACTGGATTAGTGTGATCCTAGTTCATTTTCATACTTCATTGCTGCGGTGTATGTGTATAGGGCAATGCCGCGGCTGGCGCTCCTGCAGAAGAGCTTTCTTGGTCAAACCTCTTATTGCATTCCGGTACAAACCGCCCAGAACCTTTTTCTCCCCCAGTCCCCCCCCACTTACCTTCTGATATGAAGGAGGAACTCTGATGTAAAAGGGGAGGACTCTGATATGAAGGAGGAACTCTGATGTAAAAGGGGGGGGGGACTCTGATATGAAGGGGACTTCTGATATGAAGGAGGAACTCTGATGTAAAAGGGGGGGAGGACTCTGATATGAAGGGGACTTCTGATATGAAGGAGAAACTCTGATGTAAAAGGGGGGGAGGACTCTGATATGAAGGGGACTTCTGATATGAAGGAGGAACTCTGATGTAAAAGGGGAGGACTCTGATATGAAGGAGGAACTCTGATGTAAAAGGGGGGACTCTGATATGAAGGGGACTTCTGATATGAAGGAGGAACACTGATGTAAAAGGGGGGGAGGACTCTGATATGAAAGGGACTTCTGATATAAAGGAGGAACTCTGATGTAAATGGCGCAATGGTGGTGCAAGTATGTAAATCAGATTGGAGGGAAGCATGTACCGGTGAAGTGGAGAGAGGCAGAGTACAGATGTGATGGCGGAAGAAAGAGTGTAGTAGACGCGGCATATGGTGAGAGAAAGTTGCCTTCAGGCATCATGGATGGTAAAAAACACGGGGCTGTATGTACAGTTGGGGGGCTGCAGGCACGATAGGCACTTAGGATAGGTGGGGTGCAGGCTAAGAGGAGAGATGCTAATGGCAGGATGGCTGGTGAGAGAAGGTGGGGGCTATAGGTGCACTGGGGTTCCAGTACAGTAGCTTCCACCCTTAGGCTCCTGCACATTCCATGGGTGCCCAGATGCTTCCTGGTTGCCATAGCAGCACCCATCCAAGTAACTGGACAGCCTTCCCGAGGCCGTTGTTCTATCGAAAGCTCCAACTCGCCGAAATCTCCGACTACCTCACCGTCGGGAACTTGGAAGTTGGAGATTTCGAGCAGACGGCGTTAGACTGCAAAACACAAAGACTGACGGAGCCTCTGTACAGCTGCATTTTAACAATATATTTGCAGGTGACAAACTCGACGAGTATTCTGAAAACGCTATGCGCGCAATGCGCACCGCAACTGTAGAGCTCCAGTCTTTCTGAGCACCGGAAGTGAGGTAGTTGGAGATCTCGATGAGTTGGAGCTTTCAATAGAACACCGGATCGTGACAGAGAACTGTTTATTCCAGTGTGCAGAGTAATCTGTACCCCCTCCCTTCTTGCTCACAGTGCCATTGACCTAACAGTTCAGGAGAGCAGCAGCCATTTTGATGTAGAACACAGAGGGATATTATTATCCGGTGCACTAGTATTTTCCAGCAAAATAGAACTAGTATTGTGTAAATAAATGCAGAATTATCCACTATTGTTACCAACCGACTATAAGTAGACATAAATTAAATCCAGGCATTGTGCGTGTCAATGATCCCAGCGGCCATTTTGTTGTAGCCCAAAGGAGATGAGAGGCAAGTACATCCAGTAGGGGCTAAATCTTCCTGGTGAGGATACAGAGGAGGAGAAGGAGGTAATGTCTTCTTATTATGAGAGAAGGGGGGACCCAGCTCTCTCTGAGGACTGGATGTGGGGGAATGGGTCATGTGACCTTGTGGGTCAGGTCGCATGTCCTCTATGCAGCAGACAGTCAGGGGGAAGCAAGCTCTACAATAATGCTGCGTTTACATGATATTGGATAAATGGAACATACGAGGTACCGACTTGTAATCTGAACCCGTATCTCCGACTCAGTTCGGGGGGCACAACGATAATCCGGCACCCTGTGAATGCAAAATTCTCCGACTTGTCACTTTGAGGTCAGGATGTTGTATGTTTCGGGGGTCATACTGCCATTTTATTTGGGAAACCAGCAGATGGACAAAATTTGAATCTCAGGTCCACTTTAAGGTTTCGGGGAGGTCACATGACATCACTCTTATCTCTAGTAATAAAACACAGACCTGACCGGAGAGGTGAGGAGGATTCTGGGAGGTCACATGACATCACTCTTATCTCTAGTAATAAAACACAGACCTGACCGGGGAGGTGAGGAGGATTCTGGGAGGTCACATTTCTATTAATATGTTTTCTCTAGTTGGGATGGTGACATAACTTGATTATATTTATTTCACATGTAGAATAATCTAGCCTTCAAGTTATCTGATGGCTTGTTCGCATCCAGCTTGCTACATGCCCTAAGCACCATTATAGATCCTCCATCGCACTTCCTGAAAAAGAACAAAAAGAGGATTGAAAAAGTAATCAGAGAGATCATTGAGCTGCTGACGGGAGAGGTGAGCGGTGGCGGGGATTCTGGGACATGATCAGGGGCTGACTGGCAACTTTTAGCCCAGGGGGCAAGTACAACCCAGAGGCCCAAGCCCTCAGGAACATCAGGTAGATGAAATAAAAGGCAAATATTAATGAGTATACAGTATAAACTAAAAAAGTAGACCTAGAAAACACCTCTCCTTTGTTATGGGAGACTGCTTTAGACAAAGTCATCTTGATTATGTGAGGCGGGTTTCTCCACAGCTCTGCAGATCACGTTTACTCTATCTCCTGTAGAAGGGATTGGATATACACATTACGCTCCCGGCAGAGTCTGTTTAATTTTGTGATCAGGATAGAATAAAAACTGCTACTATGACAAGATTTAAAGGAATTATTGGTACTCCTGTGTAGGTGATGCTGGATGTAGACCAAGCTGATTGTATAACGGAAGAAGATGAGCCATATGTGAGGGATGATCAGCCGTGTAAAGAGGAGGAACGTTCTCCAGAGATCAGCACAGGTGAGGAATAAACACTAAATCCAGAAAAGAGTCCCAGATTCTCCTTGTTCAGTCACTACAACAATCTCTTCTTCTCCCCCCTCCTCTGTCAGTAGACAGTAATGGGGGGACGGAATGTGTCTAGTGGGGGGAGTCAGGAGCCATCAGCCTCTATTAGACTCCGGCTCTCCTCCTCACATCATGTCATTGTGTGTTCCCAGCCAAGAGACGTGACCAGCCTCCCCACACACACACTCTCTGGGGTCTCTCATACATCTCAGTACAGGGGGCTTCACTCTCATCTTTATTCACAGACACCAGAGACACTCAGAGAGACGTCAAAGATGAAGAGGATGTTGAAGTAATACAGATTAAGATTGAAGAAGACCAAATCCCTCCAGAGATGAGCACAGGTGAGTAATAAACACCAAATACAGTTACTGTAAGCTATCTGAGTTTTCCATTTATGGGACATCATAGCAATGCACAGGTAGGGAGCAGATTCACCTGAAGTCATCTCTTTCCTCCTTGATGGTATAGCAACACACCCGAAGACCAGACTTTGGCTTTACAAGACAGCGGATGACTTCCAGTGTGTGTCTGCACCTAAATCCAAACAGCTGTACATTTAAGTAGGAAAGGACTGCCTCCAGGTGATCCTGCTCTCTCTTTATTCATTGTGTTATATGTCCCATGGTTGGGAAACTCAAATAGTTTAGAGTAAGGGGTCAGTAAACTCCAGCTGTGGTGCAACTACAAATTAGGCATTGCAAGACTGACAGCCACTGGCATGACATCCATAGGCTCTTACCTCTATTAATAAAACAGAGACCTGACCGGAGAGGTGAGGAGGATTCTGGGAGGTCACATGACATCACTCTTATCCCTATTAATAATACACAGACCTGACCAGAAAGCAGAGGAGGATTCTGGGAGGTCACATGACATCGCTCTTATCTCCAATAATAAAACACAGACCTGACCGGAGAGGTGAGGAGGATTCTGGGAGGTCACATGACATCACTCTTATCCCTATTAATAATACACAGACCTGACCAGAAAGCAGAGGAGGATTCTGGGAGGTCACATGACATCGCTCTTATCTCCAATAATAAAACACAGACCTGACCGGAGAGGTGAGGAGGATTCTGGGAGGTCACATGACATGACTTATCTATATTCATAAAACACAGACCTGACCAGAGAGGTGAGGAGGATTCTGGGAGGTCACATGACATCACCCTTATCATGGTGACATAACTTGATGGTGTTTATTTCTATATAACGTAGACATACTGTATGTCTGCTTATCACTCCAGATGGTGAGATAGAAGATGGAGATAGAACATCGGATTCTTCAGAAGACGCCATTACCCCAAATTGCTATTCGGTACTTCCCAGTGCCGATTGTTCATCTGATCCCTCCGCTCCCTCACCACTTGTCACCCATCCTCCCGCTCGTAGAGTGGGGAAAAGGTTCCTATGCACAATATGCGGGAAATCCTTTACCCGGAGAGCCAGTGTTATCGAGCATCAGAAAAAGCACATGGGGGAGAAGCCGTATTCGTGTTCTGAATGCGGGAAATGTTTTGACAGGAAAAGGAACCTGATCACGCATCACCGGATTCACTCCGGGGAGAAGCCGTTTTCATGTTCTGAATGTGGGAGGCTTTTCGCTTGGAGAGCCAGCCTTGTGGAACATCAGAGGACTCACACGGGAGAGAAGCCATATCCGTGTTTGGAGTGCGGGAAAAGTTTTACCCAGAAAACGCATCTAACCAAACATCAGAGGACTCACACGGGGGAGAAGCCGTATTCGTGTTCGGAGTGCGGCAAACATTTTACAGAGAAGGCCTATGTCATCGTACATGAGAGAACTCACACGGGGGTCAAGCCGTATTCCTGTACGGAGTGCGGGAAGTGCTTTAACCAGAGGAGCCACTTTATTGCACATCAGAGAGCACATACAGGAGAGAAGCCGTATTCATGTGCAGAGTGCGGGAAAAGTTTCACTGAAAGAGCCCAGCTGGCCACGCATCGAATAATTCACACTGATGTCCATCCGTATTCGTGTTCGGCGTGCGGTAAATGCTACAGCAGTAAATCAAATCTGGTTAGGCATCAGCAAGTCCATGCAAACTGCATACTTGTTCTGAATGAGGGAATCAAGTTTTCTGAGAAATGTGATGTCACATATCCACTATAGTCTTAGTCCTGGTACTTTCAGACTTTTAGCGCGGTTGTAGATGTTTCTGTGTTCTTCCCTTCTTCCTTCTATCTCTTGTTGTGTTTGAGCTAGGATCCCTCTACAGGCTGCATGCAGAAAACCACAGTAGGGGGCGGAGACTAGACCAGTCACCCTGCTCAAGGAGAGGGAGCAGCAGAGACCAGTCTGTATCACAGGTAACTTTTGCATGGAGGCAAAGTGCAGAAGTTGTTGTTTCATTCTGGATTACTGCACAGATCTGGAAGAAATATTCAAAGGGCAGCAAGATTCAAGTCAGTGGAAGGGACCTAATAGTTCCTCTCCCTACAGACTGCCTGCAGAAAACTACAGCATGGGCTAGGTCATATGGAAGTGAAGGGAGAATCCTCATCCCTGTGTGAGCCTTATGGTGAGGAACTCAAAGCTTGCACACTCGACCTCCTCTCATGTTACAATAATGATGCTTGGAGGTTGCCTCAGTGCTATCACATGGAGGTGAAGAGAGTCCTCATCCCTGTGTAAGCCTTGTGGTGAGGAACTCAAAGCTTCCACACTCCCCTTCCCCTCATGTGACAACGATGGTGGTTGCCCTATTGCTGTCAGTTGGAGAGCCTTCATCCCAGTGTCAGCCTCGTGGTGAGGAACTCAAAGCTTCCACACTCCCCTTCAACTCATGTGACAATAATGGTGCTCTGTGGTTGCCCCAGTCCTGTCACATGGAGGTGAAGAGAGTCCTCCTCCCAGTGTAAGCTCCAATTTATAATCTGGACCATACATGAGACTTTGCCTCCATGGTAGTGAAAGCCGCAGAGGAAGCCCAACAGGACCAAAGCTCAGATTCACTTTAAAAGGGACATGTTTGAATGGACCCCAAAAAGGCCCACCAAAAAAATTCCAAAACTTATATAGGTTTTTTGTGCAGTTCTAGACCATCTGCTCCATGCAAATTCTCTAATCTTTGCATGTTCCTGTTCAGCTTTGAATAAATCATGAACATAAATGAACGATAACGTGCGGCACGTCTCACCATGCGCGACAAATGCTGACACATACTGTATAACAGGCTTCAGACTGGCATCACATGACCAGTGATACGCATATGTCTGTCCTCAAAGTGGTCACAGGAGCACAGGGACCTGCTGCAGTCTTCAGCCCACGTTTGCATCACATGACCAGTGATACGCATATGCCTGTCCTCAAAGTGGTCACAGGAGCACAGGGACCTGCTGCAGTCTTCAGCCCACATTTGCATCACATGACCAGCGATACGCATATGCCTGTCCTCAAAAGTTGAAGTTTAATCTCCTTACATTTTGCCTTCTCTGGTTCCTCTTGTTTCCCCTCATCAGTGTGCTAATAAAATGATTAAATAAACTCTTTCCGTTTTCATTACATATGGCAGGGTTCTGTACGTAGCTTCCTGAGCACATCACACCACCCAGCCTCAGCATTCCCCTCAACAGGCCTAAGCCCTGATAGAAGCAGGGGACTGGCTCTTGGGAGGCATTATGGAAATATCAAAATGCCTTGATGGGTCTGGAGGAGTGGGCATTCTTAGGCAGGTCACATTTGCTTGTAGGCCACCCTAGGTAACAGCCACATGTGATACTGAGCCTCTGAGATTGAAAGAACTGAAATCCATGGGTGGGAGGGGAGGCGAGGACAGTCAGACTGGGGAAGAAAGAGCTACATGACGCTGGATGCCCTCCCGCCGGGAAATGAGGCGGAGCTCTATCTGACTTGCTGCAGCTTCTAATACACATGGTGATAAGCTCCCAGTGTGCAGGGACATCAGAGGAAGACATTTCAGTCCAGCAGAGGAGTCGGTACAACTGAGCAAGACTGCAGAGGAGGTCGGAGGTCAGATTGAACTCTCAACCTCTGCAAACAGACATAATGTTGATGTAAAGGAGAAGGGAAATTTGGGAGAACTGAAAACGTATAAGTCCCGGTCCACATGCCATAAACCACCGTGACCATTTTCAGAAGCCAATCAGCAGTGAACAATCCTGGGCCGACCTATCCAGCTTACGGTCCGTGCTTGGATAAATGGAACACAACCACTGGTAACCGATCGTTATCTTATCCCTGAGGCTCGAAATGCAGCCAGAGGTGGACCTGGCCACAGGAACTCATCATAAACATGGTGCAGTCCTTTAAAAGCCAGAGGTTTTCATTGGTATTTCTAGGGGACAAAAAAATTATATAGATAGATAGATATCCTAATTATAATCACAATACATATATATTTATATAAAATCAAATATTTAGGGATCATTTACTAAAGAGTAAAAACAAAACATTATATTATTATAAAACATATTTAGATCTTAATTAGGATTATATTCCTATTCTTGCTTTACAAGGGAAGTCACTTCCGGCCTGTGGCTCCCTCACTCCAGCTGTGTGCGTTCCACGGCCGCCCAGCGGTTTCCTGGTTGTCCTAGCAACGCCTATTTTGGCGCGTTCAGGTGACAGGCCGACGTGAGGTAAAGATGACAGCCCAGCGGCGGCCATTTTCTTGTAGCGCGGACATTTCAGCCTTCTTGGTTGTGGCGGCCGACTGAGAGAACGTTTTATCCTGCGGAGGACCGGATATATTTAATTTGCGTAATAGAAATGTATCAGCTCTATCGAAGTGTAAATATAGTGAATGTCCGCGCTACAAGAAAATGGCCGCCGCTGGGCTGTCAGCTTTACCTCACGTCGGCCTGTCACCTGAACGCGCCAAAATACGCGTTGCTAGGGCAACCAGGAAACCGCTGGGCTGCCGTGGTTTTGGTGAGGCCGGAAGAGGAGGAGGGAGGGATTTCTGTAAGCAAAGAAGCTTCCTGGTGTGAGGCTGGAGGGACCCAGTGAGGTGGAGGTAATGTCTTCTTATTATGAGGGAAGGGGTCACAGCACTCTATGTGGGGTGGGTCAGGTCATGTATCCTCTATACAGCACACAGGGGGTCAGCTGACTCTGCAATGGGGGAATTAGTCTCCTCAGGTGGATTGGGGTCTTTATAGACATATATATTACTACAGAGCGGATTTATGGCTGTTCTTCCCTCAGATACCAATAAATGGCGGATTGCTGTACACATGGCGCGGTGTATCACAAGCTCATGCAGACGCGTGTCAGTGACGTTTCCCCGAGGCCTACATATTCCAGTTCAGCACTTTAGAGTCACAGCCGTTCATACGTGAAAGCGTAATTCTGCATTTTAATTGCCGTTCATTCCTAATTTTAGATTTGCTGAAATTTTATTGCGCAGACCTGCCACCCCGGGGGGTGTAATAAGTGAGGTCACCTGATGGGTTATGACCTGCAGCCAGTAGGTCTTCTCAACATCTACTTTGATTGATACTGACATAGCCTGTGCCACCGTAAAATGAGGCCGGACGTACACTTTTGGGTTTTTTCCTGTTTAGCCCCCCCGAGTACTTAAAATAGTATCTGGATATCATTGGAGGAGAATATAAATCTTACAACTTACACAGGGCTTTTTCTCTTGGCTCCAAATAGTATAACGAAGAATACAGGTGAGGTGCGTCTTTTTCAGGGGTTTTTTGTTTTGCTTTGAACTCTGTCAGGATTTGAGGCCCTGAGGACTCAGGAAATGGAAGGAACTCTAACCAACAAGGTCATGGACAGCAATCAAAACCTGGAAGGTGTATGGAAAACATGAGTAAAACACCAAAGGTTTAGGAGGCCAAAGACAGCATGCCAATCGTTCCGGGGGCTTTGGGGTTCCAGCTTTGTCAGGGCTAAAACTGCTGTATGGAAAACAAAATCGTGAGGGCCACACCAAAGGTTTAGGAGTCCAAGAGTATTTATTTCATCTTAGAAGTCCAAAGACAAGGAGCCATCCCGTTTTGGGGGCTTTAAGGTTCCAGCTTCATCTGGGCTACAACGTATGTATGAAGAACAAAATCATGAGGGCCACTCTAAAAGTTTAGAAGCTCAACAGTATTTCATCTGAGAAATCCAAAGACAAGAAGCCAACTCATTTTGGGTCTTTAGGGTTCCAGCTGCATCTGGGCTAAAACTGCTTTATGGAAAACAAAATCATGAGGGCCGCACCAAAGGTTTAGATGACCAAGAGTATTTAGTTCATCTTAGAAGTCCAAAGACAACAACCCAACCAGTTTTGTGGGCTTTAGGGTTCCAGCTTCATCTGGGCTACAACTTCAGTATGGAAAACAGAATTATGAGAGCCACACCAAAGGTTTAGAAGCCCAAGAGTATTTAATCGGAGGAATCCAAAGACAAGAAGCCAACCCATTTAGGGGAAATTAGGGTTCCAGCGTCATGGGGGATAATACTGCTGGGGTTGTAAACGTATTGGTTATTATAGATGTATTTCTGCTGAGAAATAAATGTCCTTTATTCCAAAAGAATGCTTCAGGGGCTGGTGGTTACAGGACCTACACAACCAAACTGCTGAAGGCCTTTTATGAGTCAAACACGCTTTTCAAACCAGCATTTTAAGCTCTGGTAGCGGAACCCCATGGCCTCCAAAACGGGTTGGGTTGTTGTCTTTGGACTTCTTTGTCTTGGACTCCTAAACCTTAAGGGCTTGTTCACACCATGCCCAAGGAGCTGTGTTTCTCTGCACACCACCGCACATGTATGGTGTGAACAGGGCACATAGAAAACAGTTGTCCACCCCATGCAAGTGCAGTGGTGTGCAAAAAAGCGCTGCTGGACATGGTGAGGAAAAGGCCTTGCAGTTGTTTCCCACATGTTCTAGTCTTCACCTGAGGCACCTTTTATATAACCAGAGTTTCTGAAACCTTACACCAAGTTTGGATCCAGCACCTCCAACTTATACTTTTTTGAGCAATAAAACCCGACAGAAGTTCTAATTCTTTCCACGCCCATCTAAAGCTAGATAACTTCTTACCAAACTGTTTTTCTCTACCACTGATACATTTTAAAAAAAGGTTGATGACGTACAATACAGTGACAAATAGAGAAAACGCCGACCGGCTCCGTGCTGTCAGTACAGGTATTGTTTCAGTAAGGCATCCACTGAGCAGGCGTGATAGAAGGAGTTGCACATTCGAGGTACTCTGTGATTCCACAAGGATGTCTGCACTTCCACTTCCATATGGGACCATACCCAGTCTATGGGACCATACCCAGTGCATGGGACCATACCCAGTCCATGGCCAAGTGTGAAATTGCTTTACAATGCAGTAAAAAGAAAGAAAACAGATCAGTCTGACAAATTTTATGAACCAAGGATACTGGAAATGTGTTTGACCATTAGGGAGAGGTACACACAGTCAATGTGTTCAAGATGAGGTGGTGTCCCCAGATGCAGTCCATATACCCCAAACCTTCTGAAATGTTTTTCTTCCCCACAGCCCCTGTGTTCTTGAGTGGCTGTATAGTAAGGCAATGCTGCATTTATTAATGACTTCCAGAAACCCAATGAGGCAGCCGCAGGGGCTTTCTACTTAGGAACAATCGACTTTCTTGCATGGTACAGTAAAAGGCAAAGTGGCGTCTTAGCTGAATGAGTCGCAGCCAGAGGCTTCATCAGACCCAAGAGTCAGGTTTTAACTTTAATGAAACTGTAATAGTGGTTATGGAGGTGATAAAATCTTCCACTGCACCCAATACAGTTTCGTAATATATGTACAAAATCTGCTCCATCATTTGAACACCTCCAGCACTGACTTTCTTCCCCAGTCTTCTGACACTGGCCATGTTTACTAAGGGCAGATTACTAGCTATCCTTTTACTTCCTGGATTTCTGGTACATGTGACCATGCACATCATCTCAGGGGAGGAAAACACCCTTCCCGTGAGATCTTGTGAGATAACAGATGAGGTTTCCCAGCAATGCTCTGCTGATGACAAGGCAATCCCAGTGTGCATTGCTTTGCCAAAATGAAGTCACGTTGCCCTTTCAAAGCAGGAAGTGAATGTTCTGCAAGTGTAAGTATTTCAAAATCACAGCATTTTACACCTGACACGTCTATGTTATTATTAATCATCATACATAGAGGAATGCATTGGTAGAATTTGAATTTTGAGTGTAAAGGTCCCACTTTAAATAATCCCTGTGAAGGGTTTTGAATTGTATTAACCTGGCTGAGACCAAGTATGGAAAGCGGATAACCCTGCACGTCCTCCCAATTTTCGGAATCAAGCGTTGGAGCCATTTGGAACGCAGACTGTCCAGCCCTATGTGGACATTTGGTTGTAGAGCCTTGGAGAAAGAGGCAAACAATTCATCCCCACACAGCTACCTCCTCATGTATCACTGGCCCCTCCCTTTTGGATTGTAAGCCCTCAGGGGCAGGGCCCTCCTTACCATCTTGTCTTGAATTGTATTGTGATTGTAATGTCTTCCTTATATTGTAAAGTGCTGAGCAAACTGTTGGCGCTCTATAAATCCTGTATAATAATAATAATTAGTGACTCACGTCTCATGAGGGTTTCTAGTTTAGAAGGAGTCGGTTCCAATGTTAAATGCCAAGCAGATCCTCATGAGCACGGTGAGATTGAATATATCTAAAGGAATTTGAATTGGGCAAGTCATATTTTCCTTTCAGTTTGTCAGATCGCATGATCGATAATAAGTACGAGACACTTGATAGCCTCGGCCACCCAAAGTGCAGGGTCTGGCATAGTAAAAAAAATTGCCTGCCAGATTTGTAAAATAAATGCTTTTGTATATTGGTTCTAATTTCTGATTTGTATCACATGGTAGAGCAAGCGAGGCTTAACTGAAGGCAACATTGTCTATGAGGAAACGTCTCTAAAGAGATCACCTAAGATGGAGAAGGAGCGGAGTCACATGACTGAGAGGATACTAAACCTCACCCTGGAGATCATCTACCTGCTGACCGGAGAGGTGAGGAGGATTCTGGGAGGTCACATGACATCACTCTTATCTATAGTAATAAAACACAGTCCTGACAAAAGAGCTGATTGATACGGTAATGGACTACACTATAAACAATAATTTGAGTGCTGGTGACCTGCTTTTTCATTTTGAGCTGAGTGTCAATTATCAGCCCTGGCATTTCTGCTGTTACAGGAAGAGAGTATAAGAGAATAATGCTTCCCCGAAAGATGAGAGCAGACCTAAGCTGTCAGGTCAGATCCCCATTGCATAGGGGAAAGCAGTACCAATGTTCTGCCATCTTGGTGCTGTTTTATCGAACTTGTAGCTCTGGTTGTGAATGTCCCCTTCATCCTATATTACCTAGATGAGGTTTATGGATACAGGTACTTGAAGCAAGAGCAAAACCCACTGTGCTTTCCCAAGCCTTCTTAGTGAACACAGATGTTTTTCTACATTTTCAGCAAAGTGTCTGTTTAGCTTTTTGGATCTATGCTAAAAAAGTGCTGCATTCAAACACTGGTTCTTATTTCCATGTAGGTATCACTGGAGGAAATCCAGACCACCAATTGTAGGACAGACATCACAGAGGAAGCAGATGAGACGTATGTGATGGATGATGATGCGTGTAAAGAGGAGGAACGTTCTCTAGAGATGAGCCCAGGTGAGGAATAAACACTCAATCCAGAGAAGAGTCCCAGATTCTCCTTGTTCAGTCACTACAACAATCTCTTCTTCTCCCCTCCTCTGTCAGTAGACAGTAATGGGGGGACGGAATCTTTCTAGTGGGGGGAGTTAGGAGCCATCAGCCTCTATTAGACTCTGGCTCTCCTCCTCACATCATGTCATTGTGTGTTGCCAGTCTCCCCCCACACACTCTCTGGGGTCTCTCATACATCTCAGTACAGGGGGCTTCACTCTCATCTTTATTCACAGAACCCGGAGACACTCAGAGAGACGTCAAAACTGAGGAGGAAGTAGATTTAGATGTCAAGATTAAAGAGGAGGAGATTCCTATAGAGATCAACACAGGTGAGTGATAAACACTAAATAAGGAAAACATTCGAAAATTCACTTTGTGCAGCTTTGACTAAAAGTGGAACCCGGCCAAAAGAGAAATGGATCTTCTAGTTACTGCTGTGCTCAGGTTTCATGTGTCTGACCTGCTGGGGTTCACACAGTAAGAACTGTACAGCACTTTGGAATTAAGCTTGTTAAGTCAAAGGACTGTTGATGGTGATTACCTCTCAATTTTCTTTTCTTCATTCGGAGGATGTGTATTTAATTTATTGTAATTGACCTTTTTAAGTGTTTCTATCCCTTTCCATCTCTTACTGCTTCCAGATGGACAATACGGTGGGAATAGTCCTATTATCTCTCCAGGGGGTGAAATAGAAGATGGTGAAGTCACGGCAAATACTTCGAGAGAAAATCCCATCGCCCCAATTCTCCATCCAGAACTTTACACCACAGATCTGTCATCTGTCATCCCCCTTACACACGAACAGATCCCTCACTTCCTTACTGATCCCTTACCGCCCGTCACCCTTTGCACAGATTCCAGAGGGGGTGAAATGTTCCCGTGCTCCATATGTGGTATATGCTTTACAAGGAGGGCAGAACTTTTGTCACACCAGCGGTCTCACACAGTCGAGAAGCCATATTCCTGCTCTGAATGTGGCAAGTGTTTTACCCAGATAGGAAACCTTACGGTACACATGAAGGCTCATACCGGGGACAAGCCGTATTCATGTTCTGAATGCGGGAAATGTTTTAACAAGAAAAGGAACCTGATCACGCATCACCGGATTCACTCCGGGGAGAAGCCGTTTTCATGTTCTGAATGTGGGAGGCTTTTCGCTTGGAGAGCCAGCCTTGTGGAACATCAGAGGACTCACACGGGAGAGAAGCCATATCCGTGTTTGGAGTGCGGGAAAAGTTTTACCCAGAAAACGCATCTAACCAAACATCAGAGGACTCACACGGGGGAGAAGCCGTATTCGTGTTCGGAGTGCGGCAAACATTTTACAGAGAAGACACACGTCATCGTACATGAGAGAACTCACTCGGGGGTCAAGCCGTATCCCTGTACGGAGTGTGGGAAGTGCTTTAACCAGAGGAGCCACTTTATTGCACATCAGAGAGCACATACAGGAGAGAAGCCGTATTCATGTGCAGAGTGCGGGAAAAGTTTCACTGAAAGAGCCCAGCTGGCCACGCATCGAATAATTCACACTGATGTCCATCCGTATTCGTGTTCGGCGTGCGGTAAATGCTACAGCAGTAAATCAAATCTGGTTAGGCATCAGCAGGTCCATGCAAACCGCATACTTGTTCTGAATGAGGGAATCGAGTTTTCGGAGAAATGTGATGTCACATGTCCACTATAGGCTTAGTCCTGGTACTTTCAGACTTTTAGCACTGTAGTAGATGTTTCCGTGTTCTTCCCCTTCTTCCTTCTATCTCTTGTTGTGTTTGAGTTAGGATCCCTCTACAGGCTGCATGCAGAAAACCACAGTAGGGGGCGGAGACTAGACCAGTCACCCTGCTCAAGGAGAGGGAGCAGCAGAGACCAGTCTGTATCACAGGGAACTTTTGCATGGAGGCAAAGTGTAGAAGTTGTTGTTTCATACTGGATTAGTGCACAGATCTGGAAGAAATATACAAAGGGAAGCAAGATTCAAGTCAGTGGGAGGGACCTAATAGGTCGTCTCTCTACAGACTGCCTTATGGTGAGGAACTCAAAGCTTCATTACTGCCCTTCCTCTCATGTGACAACGATGGTGCTTTGTGGTTGCCCCATTGCTGTCACATGGAGGTGAAGAGAGTCCTCATCCCAGTGTCAGCCTTGTGGTGAGGAACTCAAAGCCTCCTTTTTCCCCTTCCTCTAATGTGACAAGGATGGTGATGGGTGGTTGCCCCAGTGCTGTGACATGGACGTGAAGAGAGTCCTCATCCCTGTGCAAGCCTTGTGGTAAGGAACTCAAAGCTTCAGTGGTATTAAAACCAGAGGAAGCCCAACAGGACCAAAGCTCAGATTCACTTTAAAGGGACATGTTTGAATGGACCCCAACAAGGCCCACCAAAAACAAAATGCCAAGAAGTTATGTTTTTGTTCTGTTTTAGACCATCTGCTCCATGCAATTCTCTAATCTTTGTATGTTCCTGTTCAGCTTTGAATAAGTCATGAATAAAAATTAACGACAACATGCGTAGACGCATGTTTACATGGACATGTCTCACCATGTGTCATGAATGCTGACACATACTGTATACCCGCCTTCAGACTGCTCACAGGAGCACCCGGACCTGCTGCAGTCTCCATCTCAACAGTTTGGGTCACATGACCAGCGATACGCTTATGCCTGTCCTCAAAGTGGTCACAGGAGCACAGGGACCTGCTGCAGTCTTCAGCCCACATTTGCATCACATGACCAGCGATACGCATATGCCTGTCCTCAAAAGTTGAAGTTTAATCTCCTTACATTTTGCCTTCTCTGGTTCCTCTTGTTTCCCCTCATCAGTGTGCTAATAAAATGATTAAATAAACTCTTTCCGTTTTCATTACATACGGCATGGTTCTGTATGTAGTTTCCTGAGCACATCACACCACCCAGCCTCAGTATTCCCCTCAACAGGCCTAAGCCCTGATAGAAGCAGGGGACTGGCTCTTGGGAGGCATTATGGAAATATCAAAATGCCTTGATGGGTCTGGAGGAGTGGGCATTCTTAGGCAGGTCACATTTGCTTGTAGAAAAGAACTGAAATCCATGGGTGGGGCGAGGACAGTCAGACTGGGGAAGAAAGAGCTACATGACGCTGGATGCCCTCCCGCCGGGAAATGAGGCGGAGCTCTATTTGACTTGCTGCAGCTTCTAATACACATGGTGAGAAGCTCCCAGTGTGCAGGGACATCAGAGGAAGACATTTCAGTCCAGCAGAGGAGCCGGTACAACTGAGCAAGACTGAAGGGGAGGTCAGATTGAACTCTCAACCTCTGCAAACAGACTTAATGTTGATGTAAAGGAGAAGAGAAATTTGGGAGAACTGGAAACGTATAGGTCCGGGTCCCCATGCCATAAACCAGTGGTGGCGAACCTTGGCACTCCAGCTGTGCCAAAATTACAAATCCCAACATGCATCTGCCTCTGGGAGTTATGTCTGTGGCTGTCAGAGCCTTGCAATGCCTCATGGAACTTGTAGTTCCAAAACAGCTGGAGTGCCAAGGTTCGCCACCACTGCCATAAACCATCGTGACCATTTTCAGAAGCCAATCAGCTGTGAACAATCCTGGGCCGACCTATCCAGCTTACGGTCCATGCTTGGATAAATGGAACACAACCACTGGTAACCGATCGTTATCTTATCCCTGAGGCTCGAAATGCAGCCAGAGGTGGACCTGGCCACAGGAACTCATCATAAACATGGTGCAGTCCTTTAAAAGCCAGAGGTTTTCATTGGTATTTCTAGGGGACAAAAAAATTATATAGATAGATAGATATCCTAATTATAATCACAATACATATATATTTATATAAAATCAAATATTTAGGGATCATTTACTAAAGAGTAAAAACAAAACATTATATTATTATAAAACATATTTAGATCTTAATTAGGATTATATTCCTATTCTTGCTTTACAAGGGAAGTCACTTCCGGCCTGTGGCTCCCTCACTCCAGCTGTGTGCGTTCCACGGCCGCCCAGCGGTTTCCTGGTTGTCCTAGCAACGCCTATTTTGGCGCGTTCAGGTGACAGGCCGACGTGAGGTAAAGATGACAGCCCAGCGGCGGCCATTTTCTTGTAGCGCGGACATTTCAGCCTTCTTGGTTCTGGCGGCCGACTGAGAGAGCGTTTTATCCTGCGGAGGACCGGATATATTTAATTTACGTAATAGAAATGTATCAGTTCTATCGAAGTGTAAATATGGGCAGTTTATACTATGGTCGTCATAGTGAATCGGTTGTTTTGGTGAGGCCGGAAGAGGAGGAGGGAGGGATTTCTGTAAGCAAAGCAGCTTCCTGGTGTGAGGCTGGAGGGACCCAGTGAGGAGGAGGTAATGTCTTATTATGAGGGAAGGGGGTCACAGCACTCTCTGTGGGGTGGGCCATGTGATCGTGTGGGTCAGGTCATGTATCCTCTATACAGCACACAGGGGGTCAGCTGACTCTGCAATGGGGGAATTAGTCTCCTCAGGTGTATTGGGGTCTTTATAGACATATATATTACTATAGAGCGGATTTATGGCCGTTCTTCCCTCAGATACCAATAAATGGCGGATTGTTGTACACATGGCGCGGTGTATCACAAGCTCATGCGGACGCGTGTCAGTGACGTTACCCCGAGGCCTACATATTCTAGTTCAGCATGCTAGAGTCACAGGCGTCCATATGTGAAAGCGTAATTCTGCATTTTAATTGCCGTTCATTCCTAATTTTAGACTTGCTGAAGTTTTATCGCACAGACCTGCCACCAGGGGGTCATGTAATAAGTGATTGCTTTGGCAAATGGAATTCATTTTGCAATTCCAAAGCAGGAAGTGAATCCTCCGCCAGTGTTCGTATTTCACAATCACCCGACATGCCTGTGTTATTATTAATCATCATACATTGAGGGATGCATTGGTAGAAATGGCCGCAATTTAAAAACGGGCAGCGATGCCCGTTAATATACATGCGATCCGCCGGCTGTAAAGCTTGTATTTAGCGACGATCGGTGCGGCCCCCCCCTCCCTCTGCTGCCCCCCCCGCCATTGTCCCGCTGATCCCGGGCTCCGCTGTGCCCGGTGCGAGCCCGGGATCAGCATGTCGCCTGTGACACAGGGGATCAGAGAGAGCTCGGTACACGAGCTCCCTCCGGTCCCCTCTCCTCTGCAAGAATGCGGAAGTGTTGTATAATACATCACTTCCGCATTCTTGTGTCACTCTCCAGCTTCAGAAGCTGGAAAGAAGCTGATGGAGCAGATCTCTGCTTCATCAGCTTCTTTTGGGGGGTCCTAGGTGACATTAGGGGTCTTGGAGACCCCTGATGTCTCCATAAAGAGGACCTGTCACATATTTTGCTATCACATAGGGGGGGTTTATTAGCCCCCGTATGTGATAGCAATAAAGTTTAGTGGGAAAAAAAAATGTAAGTTCCCCCCCCAAATTTAAAGTTACACATAAAAAAAGAATAAAAAAAAAAAAAAATTTTTTAAGTCCCCACCCATACATACACGCATGCATACATGCGTCGGGGGCGCATACGTGCAAAAAAGACGATTGCGCCCATTACGCCGCACATGTTACATATCGCCGCGAACGTCGCAGTGAGAGCAATAAGTCTAGGGCCATCAATCACTGATAACACTAAACTGATGAGCGGTAAAAACGTTTAAAGCGTCGCCTATGGCTAATTTTGGTTGCGGTCGTTTTCTACGATGTCGCGGGTGCGCGCAATTTTAAAGCTTGACATGTTTGGTGTCTATTTAACGGACGTGACCCCATCTTTTATATTTGACCAAAAAACTGGGTAATAATAAATGTTTCCTAACATAAGGTTAAAAAAAACGTTTTGTTTTAAAAATTTTCAGTAATTTTTCCTAATTATAATAAAAAATAAAACCCCCAGTGGTGATTAAATACCCCCAAAATAAAGCTCTATCTGTCCCCAAAAAATGGTGTAAAATTCATTTCAGTATTCAGCGCTGCATGGCGGAATAAAAGTCAGTCAACGTATCGCAGCGATGAATACTGAAAAATGGCCTGGCCAGGAAGGGGGTCTAAACACCTGGTCTTGAAGTGGTTAATATTCTTTATTTAAAGTTTTTACATATTAAAACAAACTTCCATCTGGACAGCATATCCAACATAGACATTTCCGCTTGATAAATACATTTAAATAAATATAATTACATAACTTATTTTTATTCTTCTAAACATATCTAAAGGAATTTGAATTGGGCAAGTCATATTTTCTTTTCAGTTTGTCAGATCGCATGATCAATAATATGTACGAGACACTTGATCGCCCAAAGTGCAGGGTCTGGCATAGTAAAAAAAAAACTGCCTGTCAGGATTTCTGTAAAATAAATGCTTTTGTATATTGGTTCTAATTACTGATTTGTATCACATGGTAGAGCAAGCGAGGCTTAACTGAAGGCAACATTGTCTATATCTGTAACGGACCCCCGCCGTCTGCGCATGTGCAACCTGCACGTTCCCGCACTGCTCGGGAACGCGCCATCCCGCGCATGCGCAGAAGCAGTAACCTGCGAGCACGAATATGCGCCATTCTCGCGCATGCGCAGAAGCAGTAGTCTACCAGCACGAAAATCCGCCATAGCGGCGCACAGGAAATGACAGGAAACCCCGCAGCAGTACCACCATGTTGCTGGTTTATCGTCAGCTAATCCTTGTTCCAGTTTTGTGATATCTTTCTTGATCCTTGTGACCCGGACTTCCTCGACAAACCTTGAATTCTGCCTGCCTTGACCACGGAACTGTTATTTGACCATTCTTCTGCCTGACCCCTTTTGTACTGGAAATTGCCCGCTTGGAACCTGACCTCGGCACGTCTCATTGGATTACGGCTTGCACGGTGCTCAACCCCACTGGCACTCCTGCCACTTGTTGTCCCGCTGGGCTCTGTTCCCATCCTCAGAGTCTCCCAGGACACAAGGTGCAAGGGAAGCCTCCTCTCACATCCGGTCTCCCAGAAGGTACGTAACACCCACTGTGCTTTCGCAAGCCTCCCTAGTGAACACAGATGTTTTTCTACATTTTCAGCAAAGAGTCTGTTTAGCTTTTTTGATCTATGCTAAAAAAGTGCTGCATTTAAACACTGGTTCCTTTTTTCATGTAGGTATCACTGGAGGAAAACCAGACCACCAATTGTAGGACAGACATAACAGAGGAAGCAGATGAGACGTATGTGATGGATGATGATCCATGTAAGGAGGAGAAAATTCCTCCAGAGATCAGCACAGGTGAGTAATAAACACGCCCAAGATCCGAAAAGAGCCCAGATTCTCCTTGTTCAGTCCCTACAACAATCTCTTCTTCTTCCCCCTCCTCTGTCAGTAGACAGTAATGGGGGGATGGAATGTGTCTAGTGGGGGGAGTCAGGACGTGACCAGTCTCCCCCACACACACTCTCTGGGGTCTCTCATACATCTCAGTACAGGGGGCTTCACTCTCATCTTTATTCACAGAACCCGGAGACACTCAGAGAGATGTCAAAACTGAGGAGGAAGTAGATTTACATGTCAAGATTAAAGAGGAGGAGATTCCTATAGAGATCAACACAGGTGAGTGATAAACACTAAATAAGGAAAAGAGAAATGGAACTTCTAGTTACTGCTGTGCTCAGGTCTCATGTGTCTGACTTGCTGGTGTTCACACAGTAAGAACTGTACAGCACTTTGGAATTAAGCTTGTTAAGTCAAAGGACTGTTGATGGTGATTACCTCTCAATTTTCTTTTCTTCATTCGGAGGATGTGTATTTAATTTATTGTAATTGACCTTTTTAAGTGTTTCTATCCCTTTCCATCTCTTACTGCTTCCAGATGGACAATACGGTGGGAATAGTCCTATTATCTCTCCAGGGGGTGAAATAGAAGATGGTGAAGTCACGGCAAATACTTCGAGAGAAAATCCCATCGCCCCAATTCTCCATCCAGAACTTTACACCACAGATCTGTCATCTGTCATCCCCCTTACACACGAACAGATCCCTCACTTCCTTACTGATCCCTTACCGCCCGTCACCCTTTGCACAGATTCCAGAGGGGGTGAAATGTTCCCGTGCTCCATATGTGGTATATGCTTTACAAGGAGGGCAGAACTTTTGTCACACCAGCGGTCTCACACAGTCGAGAAGCCATATTCCTGCTCTGAATGTGGCAAGTGTTTTACCCAGATAGGAAACCTTACGGTACACATGAAGGCTCATACCGGGGGCAAGCCGTATTCATGTTCGGAATGCGGGAAAAGTTTCTGTTTTATTTCAGCTCTTACGAAACACCAGAGGATTCACACGGGGGAGAAGCCCTATTCATGTTCGGAATGCGGGAGATGTTTTAGCCAACGAGCCAATCTTATTGCACATCAGAGGACTCACACCGGGGAGAAGCCATATTCATGTTTAGTGTGTGGGAAACGGTTTACTCGAAGAGGTTACGTCATCGAACATCAGAGAACTCACGTTGGTAACATTTTACTGAAAGACCGCAAATTGTCGCACATCAAATAATCTGCAACAGACTGAGACGAGTTTGTGTTGTGTATGTGGGAGGTGTTTAAAGTGAAACTTTAGCCCTAGTGCATATTTCCCTCACATGCTTTCTCTCTGTGTGCTATCTCAATAAATGGTTATAGGCGCTCCTCCAACATGGGGACATACTCCCGGAAGGGTAGCAAACCTGAGCCACGTGGTACTCCTGAGAAGAAACGCAATGGAGAACTTGGCTCCTTAGGGAGAAAAAGCTTTAGATCTGCCATGGATTGAATTGGTGCTCAAGGTCATACTATCACTTTTCTGTTCTGTGACTGGTGGTCTTGGCGAGCTGTCATTTTCACGATGTGCAAGTGGAGGGTGGCTCTGTACAGGAAGAGAGCTGCACCTGGTGTCCACCCCTGGTTGGGTTGAGGAACAAGCTCCAGACAGGCCAAACCTGTTACCCCCCCCAAAAAAGTGGACGTAGGTTTGTTAAAGGAGATTTAGAACTTGATTCTTTTGTTTTATACAGTAGGTCTGGTATAGCAGAATTTTTTCCTTCTTTAGGCTCTGAAGAATAATGGCTGTAAGACAGCACGTGTCTCAGGTAGACTATTGTTCTGGAAGGAAAGCGCCAGACATGTTGTGTAAAGTCTCGTAGTTTATTGAAAGTCACCTTGGGAATCAGGAAAGGTCTCCCTCAGGACTTGGCAGATGCTGGACAAAACAGCATATACACTGAGTGGCCAGTTTATTCTGACCACCTGACGTTTGTAGGCAAATTAGCTATAATTTGGTGCTGAAGTTGCTAGAGGGCCAGACCATTATAAATAGGGAAGCAGGTTATTTACCAGGACAGTAGAAGTGATTTGTTTCTGAAGATACGGGGAAACAACGCGATTTATCAGCCTTTGAACGTGGGATGATTGTTGGCGCTCGGAGTCATGGAGCGAGTATCAGCAAAAACAGCAGAATTCGTTAAATGTTCAAGAGCAGCTGTTGTTAAAGTGTTTAAAGACCGGACTGTCAGCCGAAAATCTGGGTCTGAACGTGCGAATTGTGGCCGTCAGCGACTAGTCAATGTTAGGGCAGAACGGAGAGTGGCAAGACTGGTACAAGACAACAGAAGGGCAACAGTGCTGTGTCAGATTCCTCGCATTACCTTTCAACATCTCGTGGAGTCACGAGGCGGCCCAACGAAGTACTGATGGGGTGGTCATAATAATCTGGCCACTCAGTGTATACAGGAATGATAAGTATGGAGTAGCCCCAGAGAAATATATATATATGTGTAATGCTAAGCTGGGGATATTAGCACATGTGGTGAGCACTTTGAGGACACAGTCCACTCGCAATATATTCTTCTTATCCTTTTATTTAAACGGAAGTTCAAGATATCCACATAGATGGATACCCTCCCACGGGTTGTTCAGCACAGCATCCATAAACACAAGTTCAGCCTCCCGGCTTCCACTCTCAGCATCTGGCTGTTTTGACCCACCAGTCTTTTGTCTGTTTCTCCTCCGATTAGTCCTCACTATAGTGCTGACCTGCACTCACACTGGTGCTGGTCACTAACGTGGACCTAGGAATGGAGATTTCATCACTCCCATGTCTCTTAAAAATATCCATGATGCACAATCCAGAAAATCTAGAAATAACTGCAAACCCAACTCTTTCCCTGTAAAAAATACTTGAAATCTGAAACTCTTCAGCCTCTCTGGCTGAGAGTCCTGGGTGACCATTATGCCAAATTTCACCATGGTATTGCTAAGAAATACCACAATATAAACATACTGTTGATGTTTTCTGCAGCACCTGCCAAACGTTAGGCTTTAAGCAGCATGCTTGTTGTGAATAATTATTCTTGTTCTTAAAGCCCACCTGAACGTAAATCAGCTAAATACATTCCCATGTGCATCTAAACCAAAGATGTTTAAAGTCTTACAGTTCTTTTTTAGAAAGCATCCACAACCTGAGTAGCAAAGCCTGTCCCCTGCCAGCATACTGTAAGATAGGCCCTTGTGTGAAAGCAGTGGTCTCTCTGCATAGGTCCAACTCACCTAGTTGCAGGAAGCCTACATGTAATACCGTGGACTAGTCTTCTGCCCTCTGCACGCCGTTTTTTGGTCACAGCTTCCACGATACAGGTCCTCTGAAACTCCAAAATCATTACTGTGTGAGTTACTTTGATACAAAGACGACAATTTGAGGAACAGTATATGTTCTACTGACCTCTCTCATAACATCATAACATATTTTATTGCATGACTGCTCAGAGATTTGACTGTAAGTCAGAAAATCTCAGTATACAGACCCTGATGGTGGAAACACTTGTTATGACCCCCTAAGGCCTCATTCACACCAGACCAGTGCGTTGCGGCCCGATTGTAGCCAGAACGCATTGCGTTATGGCCGCCTCACTATGTTGTGGGGCAGGAGGGGGTGTGGCGTTCTATTGAAGTGAATGGCACCGTAGCCACGCCCTCTGGCCGCAATGCAATCGGCCGCATGGGAATGCAAGGCACACAGTGCCTACAGTCCGGTCCGAACAAAATAGAGCATGCCGCATTTTGCGGCCGCAGGGCGCGGCTACGGTGGTATTCACTTCAATGGACTGCCACGCCCCCTCCTGCCCCACAACATAGCAAGCCGCAATGCAGTGCGTTCCGGCCACAATCAGTCCGGAACGCACTGTGTCTGGTGTGAACAAGGCCTCAGGACAACCCGCACACCCCAATACTTGCCAAAACATTGAAGCGATGTTTGAGCTGGGATGAATCTGAGCACTTACTTCGAAAGATGAATACAATATTTTGTAGCAAGGAGTCGTTTTAAAGGATTTCTAAAAAATGTGAAACAATTTTAGTTTTGTTTCCTGTTTTTGTGACAGAATAGTATTTTATTATTTTAGGATTCTCATCGCTATTTACCTTCTATTCATACAAGAAGCCCAATTGAATTATTTCTCTCTTGAGAAAAGTATGCCCACCTGCAATACATGATGGGTAATCAGTAGGTGTAAATCTGCGATAAGAGATATATTCCCAAAGCTGAGGAAACGGGACATGACAATAACACCGGCTGGTCTCTGGTCACTCTGTCAAAGTGAATTTGTCCAAGCCTAAAATGTTTTAGGGAAACGCCAGTGCTGGGCTGCAGGGGCCTTATGGAGACAGCCAGCATCTCTGTTAGTCTTTAAATAATTCCTTGTGTGACTTTGAAGCCTTCTTGGATCTTAGTTTCTACTTAGGGCCTCAACTCATGTCCTCAAGATCGTGCCCTTCCACCTCTTCACGCTAGACTGCCGCTCTCCACTTTCGACTGTCCAATGCCAGAACATAAGTGAGCAGCAAAGGCTTTGCTATGCGTTGTAAGAGATGAGATGAAGCTAAATCTCAGCTTGGGCAGACATAGTGGTCCCACATACAGCCTGGATCTAGAATGCTAGGGGATCCAGTTGTACTTACAGGAACCTGCCTTTCAGTTCTGTTATCTAAGAGTTTTTTTAGGCCAATCAGAAGATATGTTACTAAATGCTTGAATGGAAAAAGAGCAACAAAGATTGCTACCTGGAGTGTTGTAATAAAATTCCCTGTCTAGTCTAGCAGTGGAAAAGAAGGCCAAAACTTGACCAGGGAGCATAATCCAGAACTGTTTTCATGAACTGGAGAGGCCGGCTTGGAGCCCTGACCTCAACCCTATCAAGCAACTTTGGAATACTCTGGAATGCCGAGTGTGAGCGTCTTCTTGTCCAACACAAGCATCTGACTTTAAAAAATACTCTTTTGGCCAAATGGGCACAAATTCCTACAGACACGACGGCCATGGATTTGGAATGGGATGTTCAACAAGCACACAAGATGTGATGGCATCAACCCACAAACTTTTGGCTATTTAGTCTTGGTAAGAAATATTATTTCCTCGTCAAGTTGCCTGGATATTAAATAGAGACATTATATTTTACGATTTGCCTACTTAGTTTCAAGGCACATTTATGTGAAGGATCTACTGAAGCTTCTTGCTCCGTCTCATCATCCATAGTTGGCACAAAGGCGCAGTGAGTTCTCCTTTAAGGCAATTTAACATTGCATCCTGATGACCCGGTGTTGCATTTCACAGTGTGGAAATCGAATTACCAGCCCTATTTAAATTTCATATTTATTATTTTCCTGTACGCCCCTTCCTCTTTTTTTACTCTTCTGTTTAATTTAAAATAGACCCTTAAGCACAAAACTAAATTTTAATAAAGATGTTATTGTACTTACATGTGTTGTCCTTGCCCAAACTGGTTAACTTTGGTCTGCCAGCCATGTGACCCATAAAAGAATTTGGTTTTTATTCTTTGTTTATATATATATATATATATAATGTTATATTATGTTTCACCTTAACCTCCATGATAAATGAATACTCACCTGTTGCCTACACACCAAGATTCTTTATAGCAGCAAATTAGACTGTGTCCACCTGCTCAAAAAGGTAGTTCTTACTTGGAAAGCTGTCACCACATAGAGTCTCTCGGCAGAACACCATGCTCTGGCTTGCCCAAGGACTACACTTGTGGGGAAAAAGAATATTCTTACCTCAGCAAAATAAGATCAGACGTGTAGCGCTGCTCGCCTGGGACCGCAGCGCGTGGACGGAAGCGGGCCGCCTCTCTCCCGGAGCGCATCTCATGTTCGTTGGGAACCCGGTGTTAAATCATTCGTAGATGACCTAATTCGGAGTCAGGGTTTCGTACGTAGCAGAGCAGCTACCTCGCTGCGATCTATTGAAAGTCATCCCTTGAGCCAAGCTTTTAATATACAAAAAAATCAAAATAAAAAACCTCAGCATAACAAAGCTAAGCTTTCTTCCTCCTAGCCCAAGTCCGATACCCAGTTCCCTAGCAAACCTTAGACTCCAAAATCCTTCAAGCTTGCAGGCAAGTCTTCCTCGAAATGAGGGGATGCCCTCACACCTTAGAGTGGAGGGATGTCTGTTAGCCTTTGCGACCCCTGGGACCAAAGGCATTGCAGATGTATGGGTACAGGATGTGGTGGCCAGGGGCTACAAGGTAAAATATCATGCTTTGCCTTTGCCCTGTTACAT